CCCCCCCCCCCCCCCTCATTATATACTAACCAATTTCAATTCTTTTTTTTTCTTTTGTTAATCATGGTGTCCAGACCAATTTGAGCACACCCCGACTAATTTCACTGGATACTTGACACCTCTTACTAGCAATAGTTATTAGGCAACTCCGCTTACCACAACTAGGACATATACGAAAAAAATTACCTCACGATTTTGATCTTTGCTAAAATTTGAACCTGAGACCTCATAATTCTTAATCGACTTCATTGATCACTAGGTCATACCCCTTCATACAAAACAATTTGAATTCATATTGTGATGCATAAACATTTGCCTTGTGATTGGCATAAGCATTATATACATATGCCTTTTGAATCCACATTCTTTGATATGTAAGCTTAGTTGTTCATCCTTCTAGCTAAAAAGACCCTATCAAAATTCAAAAACTAGTCCCACAAGCATCTCCATTTCAATACAACAACTCACTTCTAATTGTTGACAAACTTGCTCAAAAAAACCATATTACATACACTGAAATCATGTCATGTTACAAACACTACCACTTCCTAAGCATCATGACCTGAATAACAACATTTTCTGTTCCAACAGATTCATTGAAAAGTGTCTATTATCTTTTACCTTTCCTTCAGAGACCTGTTGCTAGACTTTCTTAACTCCCAAGATGGTAAGCAGCCTTTCAAAGGTGATTGTAGAAATAACGAAGATGTCGATAACTGTCTTTGTCTTGTTGAGATTGAAGAAAGACAGCTGAATGCACTTCTTAGCCTTCTTCTTTCAGTAATATATTCTGGGCCATTAGGGTCATGTTCTACAGCGGCAACTTTCAGAGCCTCGGGTAGCATGCAGTTGAATGATGAACCTACGTACACGGAAAAGGAGAAAATGAGGCATATCATACAAAATCCTTAATAAGCTCGAAAACCATGAGATAACCAGACAAAATTTTCCTTTTCAGAACTTTTATACGGGTGGAGGGGGCGTGATGGGGTGGGGTGTGGGATTGAGGGTAGGAAGAAGACAATCAACGTGGAATGTCATTTATGGAACTTGTTTACCTATTCCCACGACGAGATCATGATTTGTAAGAAACTTGTTTTCCTAGAGAAAATGTTTTCAAAAATATTTTGACCAACCAAACATAGAAAAATAGAAAAACATTTTCCATATAATATTCTCCCCCGTACCAAACACAATCGGATGGTCATTATGAAGCGCATTATTATGAGGCTAGTTCTCCGAGACCAAGTCCATAGATAAATCTAGAGACAGATGTTTGTAGGCACTATTAGTTGTAGTTATTGCTAATTAAAGAGAGGTGGAATGACAGAGGATTACCTAATTTTGCAAGTCGGTTTACCCACTTTGGAATCTTTTTCCCAGTGAGCTTGTAGCATGTATCGTTGCAAAAATGGTTGCAGTTCTTCGAAATCAAATGATATGTGTCACCATTATAGCTAGCAGCTTGACGTTCGATAAACTCTCTAACCTGACAGGGATCCAACTTTGTAACCCCAAGGAATATGGACTTCCTAAACTTGAACCCCGGGCATTGTCGTGGTTCAACTTCAAAGACACCACTGCTTGAATAGTCATGAGCTCCAAATGCATATTCTACACCATGAACTGTAAAGTATGGGTCAGTTTCACTAAACGTACAAAAATATGAGACGCCAAATAGTAATACAACTAATTCAGACACAGATCCACTCATAGTTCTCCTTTTCCCATGTAAAGTTTCACATATGGCTTACTAGTTCTCATAAAACTATTAAGACGCAATGGTCAACCGTTAACACTTCTTCGGGATTCCCCTGTCGGAATGTCCCACATAAGGCTTTCTCAAGGGGATTAGAACCAAAATAGGAGTCAAAATAAGATGCAGAAAAGACTTCTTTATGATATTCTGTAAATGAACGAATTTGGAATAACAAAAATGTGGAAAACTAATATATCTGTTACACACTCCATAACTTTCTAATCCCTCAACTTTAAGACCATTGTCTACATGTTTCCATGTTGGAGCCAAGATATTATATAGTCATCAAAAGCTTCTCTTTAGTGGCAACCAATACAACCTCCCGTCAAGAAACACAAGAAAGAAACTGATACAACCGTACAAATCAAGAAAGAAACATGCACTTAGACTTGTTAAGTTATTTAACGATAATAAGATAGTTTTCGATGAGTCCATGATTTGGTCCAGAGGAATCTCTCTTGCCATCAAAAAGTTTAAAGTACTTTTGAAGTTCATCGCTCCACCCAATACAACTTTTGAAGAATTTTACCAATTCTTTGGACTCGACTCAAAGAATTTGTAGAAAATGTAACCAGGTAGCATCATTTTGGGGACATTAACGGCAGCAAACCATGGGAAATTTCAGAAAGCACCTGAGATGTACTGTGAGACACTAGAATCCGTAATGGCTCCTGTGTCGCTACATGATATGTTTAAGACCAAAGAACGGAGAGCAAACTTGACTTATGTTCCACTAACTTCAGACTTGAATTAGACTTCCCACTTTAAGCTAGACTACCAATACTAATTAAATGCATCTATCTGCTCTTGAATGAAATAAACCACATTTACAGGTTGGATTCTACATGGATATATCCAAGATACAAGTTTCGTTTCTGAATCTGAACACAAGACTTTAGCTAATTAGCTAAAACACGAGTCAAGATAGACAAATTAATTCATCGGGTGATGAAACATACCACAGTATATTGGATCAAACAAAACTAGGAAAAGCAATATATAAGGCAAAAACCCCAAAAGAACTGTATCTCCAAAAATAGGAGCAACATATCGATATCAAAAAATGGATATCGCTGTGTACATTGACACACAAATAGCCGTGAATAACAAAAAAAGAAGTGAGATGGAAAATCTAACAAGACTGTACCTTCCACACCAGAATGAAAAATACCAAGGCCAACCCAATATACATAGCCGTTCATAGGAGTCAAGTCATACACATTGAGATAAACAGGTGTGTCACCAGGACCATATCGATCTGATTTTGATTTGGGGAGCAAACAAAAATGTGCTGCTGATTTGGTCTTCAAATTGAGAGACGAAATTGATTTCCATCCTTTCTTTGGTTTTGTGGTCATTTTCCTTTCACTACTGAAATTAAGGTTCACTCAAGGCCCACCGGCCTCTTGATCTCTGCATGAACCAAGCAGCATAAGGAAACTTCAGGAACTTTAAGAATCCAGAAAACCGAAGAAAGAAACTTTAAAAAAATGAAAAATCAGAATAAAATTAAGTAAAGAAAGAACATAGAACGAGAAAATGAGAAAGTGAAACCACAGAAAGATCAATAATCATGGTTGTTTGATCACAATATCTCAATATGGTCGTATGCTGAATGTGAAAATCCTGCACTAGATAATGTTAGGCATGTAATACTATCGGTGACATGCTTTACAACACTGTGCTTTATCTCCGCAACTATATATCATATCATTTATCACTAAAACAAGCCCAAAAAACATTACTTTTGTCACCTAATAAAACTCATAGTAGTTGACCGTTGGATTACTAGCTTCCTTCAGATTTCACAAGTGAGTTATAGTTCTCATTCAACAACATACCATAATTGGTTTATTGTACTAACTACTAAGCTATATCACGTGCCTTAGAACTGATAGCCAGGAAACAAAATTTTAAACTATTCAGGTAAAGTTTTGGCCTTACACTGACATTGTACTGCCCTGATAGTTCTTTCCTGATCTAAACAACTTTGAGTATAATGTAGGGAGACTTGAGAAGAAGCGTAATCATCAGCAAAACCCAATGGAGCACGTGTTGTTGATTAGCACTATAACTGAATAAGGCTTACGAGAGATTTAATGATAACATTCTATAAGAAGGTAGAGAACCAGAGAGCCGATGTATCTAAGCTATAACCGCTCGCTCGATGTCATTTTACTCCCATCCCTCCAAAAAACAACTTTGATGAATATGACATTATCATCCGTATTATATGCCTTGCCTTCCAAACGACGTTTTCTATCCAACTTCACACTGGATCATCAACACCATCACATGCAAGGTAGCACACAACACTTATTGTACAACAGCCCTTTTGACTTGCTGAGAACAAGTATCATGCAATATGAAAACTCTATTTTCTTTTTGCAGTAAGGTATAAAAGTGTTCCTTTTGATAACAGTGTATTTCACTTATCAAGTTAGCTGGTCTGTGATACCCCGCTTGACCCTTTGAGAATATAGAGTAATCTGCTTGTGCAGTTTTCCTGGTGAAATAGCCCTTACTCTAACTTCTCAACCTTGAAATCTTCAATAATAGATTAAGTGCTCGACAGAAGGGGATAAATGTCGGTAATCAACGAACCTTGAAATGTTCAATAAAAGATTAAGTGCTCGACAGAAGGGGGTAGATGTCGGTAATCAACGCCAAGGAAATTTCCTAGAAGGAATATAAGAATGAATCTTCAGAAGGGAGAAAGAGGATGAGAGGGACGAAAAGAATAGAATATAGGATACCTGTCTCTTTCAACTTCAAAGAGAAGCCCACTATATGTATGAGTGGGGAACCACTAATGTATACTATAATCTGTAGCGTGCATCCAGTAATGTCTTTTTCTTTAATCTACTTGTAGTTTTTAAAAAAGTCAAAGTTCAATTTCAAGGGAGAAATACAATATCTATTCATCGCCAATATAAGGGATAAATTTAGACACATATATGCACAATCGACTATCAGGCAGCTACAATTGCGAAGAGATACGCATAAGAAAACACTTTCTGTTCGGGGTTTACCCTATGCGCACCATCAAAAGAGAAAACACTTCTGTTCATTTAATATAACTGTTGTCACTTGAACATATAAAATTTCCAGATAAACCATTACTGCCTTGAAACATAAAGTCAAATTCAACTCAGTTGAGAAAAGGAAACTAAGTTGACTCTTCTTCAGCTCTAACGATCTGGCTAATGGTTCCATTAGAAAATCTGAGAAGTTCCTAATTAATCATTTCTCATAAATGTACATGCTTTACGCTAAGGATCTACGTAAATTTTATAAGAAGCCTTTTGCTCACATCCTTTCTTGGATAGCGAACAAATCCTGGTTCAAAAGATGAATATAAATTCAAGAAACCAAACAAATTGCCAGATATAGATATCAAATGGAAAATGCGAAAACAAAACAGATGGTCGTTTGGAAAGGACTTCGAAAGAGTAATAACAACATCTCTTACCTAATTTTTTCCAAAAAAAAGAGTTAAAATAACATCCTTACCCCGGGGTAGAGGATTCGAAGTCCAAGTCAAAAGCAAAGAAAGTGAACAGATTGAATCAAATGTCAATCATTATGCAATTGTCAACATCCATAGAAACACATAATTCTATTTTACTCCAGATGTGCTAAGCAGAATAAATTACTACTAATTCAACATCTATACAAACAAACACATAATTATATTACTCTAGGATGACTACTAATTCAACAAAAACCAACTACTACCTCTCTAGACATGTAATCGCCGCCACATCGAAGCTAATTACATTTCCTACTTTACCCCTCAAACCATAACCTATTTCTCTAACTCATCTGCTTAAATTCAAAGGTTTTACAACAAAAAATCATTCTTTCAAACTTTTCATCCAAACCCCATGTCTTAAAATGCTATTTTCCCCACACACATAAGGAAACCACCAAAAAATTCTCATTAAACACACAATTTGCATATTTATGGAAAACCCAATGAAAGAAAAAAGGAAACTAAAGCAATCAGGCTAAATTAGCAAATCCAAACTTATAAAAATACCAGTTATACATCAGATCTTGCAGCAAGATTGAAACTTTCAAACAATTCTTGAACAAACACAAACTTTAGCCAAGAATTAAGAGAAAAAGATCCAATCTTTACACAACAACAACAAAGGGAAAGCTTTTTCAAGAAACAACAACAAAAATTCAAGAAGAAGAAAGACTTACATATAGACATTAGAAAAAAAGATTGCAAAGACAGCAGCTTTTTAGCTTTCTCTAAGCATGTATACACAAATAATTCTTCTGTGAAGACGGGAGAAAGACAGATCACCCTTGAAATGAGGCTAATTGTGTCTCTGTCCAAGTGTTATTAACACATACATAAATAAAACAAAACCCCAGTAAATTAAACTTCAAGAAAATGCTGTTTGAGCAACAAGTGTTAATACAATTTTGCTCACAAGTAATTTTTTTTTATTTTTTTTTTGAAGAGAACACAGATTTCAGCAGCTAAAGCAGAAACTGACAGAAGGGAAGGGGGACACACACGCCCACACAAGTCTCTCTCCCTATGCCTCACTTCTTCTTTTTTCTTAAAATTTTCTAATATGAGTTTTGATTAATGGAAGAAAGAAGAAACATTTTTTAAGGATTTTTTTTTTTTTTTTCCCTTATTCGGTGTTCGGTATTCATATTGGAACCCAATCAAATTCGGATTCACGTCGAAAAGTTTCAGATTAGGGATAAAGTGTTTCCTAACAAAGACGACTTTGCCTGAAAAACTTTTGGATATAAAACATGATAGTTCATTCCTCTGTTCTATTTTATGTGGCGGACGGGCCAGTTTAGTCACGAAAATTGTAAATTTTGAAAAATAAAATTTTATTTTAAAATTAAAAAAATGATATTTATTAGAATTTTGGGTTGTGTTTGATCATGAATATAAAATTGAAATAATTATTTAACTTGTATAATTGATCTAAAATTAAAGAGTGAATAATTTTTTGATGTTGTTCAAATTTTGAAAAACAAGTAAGTTTCGGAATTTTTCAAAATTTTATAGAAATATGATTTTCAAAATTTAACTCTGGAAAAAAAAATCATGATCAAATGATTAGATAGAATCTTCGAGTATTTAAATAGTTTGAGAAAAGAATTATGAATTACATGGTTAATAAATTGAAATGTTTTTAAAATTGTGGTCAAGGTTTTTCTTTTGAGTTCTCCATCTTATCTAAGTAAAAAATTATGGTATTAGTTCGAAAATACTTTTTAAAGTTGTATGTTACTTCATTTGTGTGTGCATAAATGGCTTTTTCAAAGATGAGAGGGCCTATACTTAATAGGGTCATTTCTCACCCAACTTTATTTATTCATGTATTCTTGTCATTTGGTAGATCCAAATTCATAGCTTGTGTTGAATTTGGGACTTCTTGTTTCCTCTTATGTTTTGGAGACTTTCAGATCGTACGAAAAAAGACAAGAATTGGTGGTTTCTGTATATGTTTGGACAATTATTTTCTCATTGCTAGCTTTTGGCTTGAGTCAAAATCAAAATTCACTTCTTTACATGATATCATAGAAACGTTCATCTCAATTATCATTTACCGATTACTGATTATGTGCTCCCATATTAATTTTTTCATGCTCTAGATGTCGGGCCTTTCGTATGAGGTGGGGTGATAGGTTATTAGGTCGGTAGTCATGTCCAAAGTTGTGTATCATTATTATGGTGTGAATAGGTGCTTCACCGTCGAGACGAAGAAAAGTATGGATCAATCAAAGATTTCTTTAATACATTAAGATAAGATGTACACATACATTTTAATTTTTTTATCGAAAGCATATTTGTTCCTTATATACCATCCCTTTTATGGCCGAGTAGACCTTTATGCACATGCCTCTTGATTTGATTGTTGGTTAATAAGTGAATTATTCATATATTAGAATTAATATAATTAACATTATGCTTAGTAGTATTTTAGTTATTGTGTATAAAATCTAGCACATCAAGTACGATGTTTGGTTACCAGTTTACAATTCCACACATAACTGAAATATAATTAAGCTATGAGTAAATTTATTTATTATATTTTGCAAAGTAAAAAGATAAAATAATTAATACATGAATAACCAACAACCAAACAATCCCTAATTGAAGTTTGAGAATAATATATTTTATAATATTATTTAGAATTACACATAAAAAATAATTAAGTTTAATAAAAGCATTAATTACTTAATACTTTTGAAAAATGGTAATGACTTTCGATTTACTTTGTCATGTTATCTTTAATATTTTGTCGTGGCTTCCTCACTTCTGCTATTCCTTTTCTGGGACTACTTTATTATGTTTTTTCTTGAACAACAAGTCTATCAAAAACAACTTCTCTAACTCCCAAGATGGCTACCCACTAACCAGATAGGAATAATGTTTGTGTACACATTACTCTCATCGGTAATGACTTTCGATCGAAAATAATCATTTTAGAAAAACATTTTCTACAATTTAACATATATTATTAAACATTAAGAAAAAAAAAAAAAAAAGGAGGCCTTGTTTTTATACTTATTCTTTTCCTGTTGGTTTTTTACTGCAGCTGGAATAAAGTTAAATTAGACAAAGCAAAGTTACAATTGAGTAAAGGACAAGCTAAGTTGAAGCTTGTGAAATGACAACAGCAAAAGGAAAAGGACTAAAAAAGAAAAGTAGGCATATTTGGAATTATATACTATTAAAATAAAATAAAATAATTTTTTGTTTAATATTATAGTATTAATAAGTTGTTTCGAAATACCTACGTATTCTTAATTAATGTAAATTTAACCAAAAATGGAATATAGATAATTTTTTATAGTTATATGTATAGTCGATTATAACTTGTTAAAAGGCATAATTTTATTGTACTTTAGTGAAGTTTACGTTTCCTTTTGAAAAGATGCTAAATCAATGCAATTTAGACAAAATTATAAAGTTTAAAGACGTTAGATTCTACTAATTTAAACTTGAAATATTATCTATACTTTACCAAAACTGTTTTTCTTTTTTTGGTTAAAATTACTTTTGATTGATTATCCAAAAATATATATTCAGTATAATCTCGCAAATAGATTTTGAATAGGGTATGATGTTGGTGTATATAGTAATGAAATCTTATTTCTACTTTTGTAAAGTAGAGAGATAGTTTTTCGATAGACTCTCGACTATTTGATTGATTACCCAACAAACAACAATAACAAAATACCCAGTGTAATATCATCAATGTGGTCTGGAGATTGGAGAGGATGGAGTATACACAGACCTTATCCCTGCAGTTTTGGGAGATAGAAAGATTGATCGTTCCGATACACACTCGACTAATTGGTTGATTACCAAACAAATGACAACAACAATATATATCTAGTGTAATATGACAAGTGGAGTTTGAGGAGGATAGAACGTACACAAACTTTATTCCTACCATGAAAGATAAAGAAGTCGTTTCTGATAAATCTTCGACTATTTAATTGATTACCAAATTAGTTTTATTTTAAAAAAGCAATAAAAAGGATGGATGAATTTATTTTTTGGAAAAATTTCATGATTAGCTTTGTTAGTTTATTTTTTTTACTCATTATTTTCCACTAATTAAAGAAAAGAAAATTTTCTGCAATATATCTATTCTAAGTTTAGTCACTGTCTTGATAAGGAAAAAACGAAAAATAAAAAGGTAAAATGTCGACAAGATCTACGTTACAACAGTACATAAGTACAAGTATCTTCTTTCTTTTTCTTTCTTTAGACATTGTAAATGAATTGTTTTGGATTGAGCAATTGCTAAATTATATTGTTTTGGATTATCACTGTGAATTGTTGTCCTTATTACTATCTAGAATTCAAGAAATCTCAAAACTTCTAATTTCTTAGTTGGAAATATAATTAATTTTTAAGTTAGTTTATAGTGTTAATGTCAACTTATTTCAAGACAATATTTAAATATTCAGTGAACTTAAAAAATAACTCATATTGCTATCATTAAAATTAATTTTATATTTTTCTATGTTGTCAATGTGATGAATGACTTATTTGGCTTTAAACTTTAAAGGGAACAAAAAACATGTCACAAATATGCAAATTGAATTAGAAACATTTTCTTTTAAAACAATTTCATTTTTTTTTAAAAGTGTGATGTTCTTTGTTATGTCATTAACAGATACATTATGTGAAATGTTTGTTTATAATCTATAAAGTATACTCTCTGCTCTCCCTCACTCTCTCCTCTCTCACCCTCTTTCTGTTATGTAATGAATATCGAATAGTCATTGAAGGGTCACTAATTAAGGTATAATTACATTAGTCACATGTATCTATGTATTTGGATAACTATAACCGTCTTCTTCTTTTTTTTAGTATGTAATTATGTATAAATACACTTGATACATCACAAATTTGGTATCATATAGATATATTTATGCATAAATTTACTAATACATCACACAATATAGTAAATATATCAGTGAGCTCTCAAAATTAATTTGTAACTATTTACATAAGTACACTAGATATTGCAAATACACTAAATAAATGAAATTGATACTGAATATATGGGATTAATATACACACAAATACGGTAAATGTGCTTTATTAAAGTTGATCTTCAAATAACCTAAAACATTTTAAGATAGGTCATGTAGAAATGGTTATTTATTAGCAAATAAATACCAATTAACAAAATATATATCTATTTGTCAAATTAAATGTGAGTGTCGAGATCAATGTTGGCAAAATTTTCATTAAACCAATTCAAATTTTAAAAAAAAAAGGAAAATGGACATAACATACTCTTCAATTTTGCGATATAGAGTTGATATATCATTTAATAAATGGCTCATAAATACCATTATTGTTACACAAATATCATATATATATTTGTTTTGGCAAATGAAAATGAAAAAATAATTTTTAGAGTTATTTTTAAAACTTTTAATCAAATAACATTCAAAGACGTATTTGATCCTTTCGCAAAGTTAAGAGGTGTATTTGATATTTTTCACATGTGATTTTTTTATTGTCTTTTTTAATTCAACGAATAATTTGAATTTATTAATTTGATGACCAAATTTATCTTTTACTTATGTTCTTGTAAAATCTAACATAGATGTTGTTTGGTAAATACAAAAAATAAATTATAATATAGCTATAAAAAATAGTTTTAAATTAAAAAAATTAAATCAAATTAGTATTAATCGGTTTGATTTGATTCTTTCATTTGAATCAATTCTTATCCCGTGAACACTCCACCTCACATAGCTATCTATTAAACTCAATTAACTTATTAAATGTACGTTAATGTTATTACTATTATTTCCATAGAGTACGAGTCAGAAATTACCAATATTAGGCTAAATAATTAACGATATAGTCATCAAGTCATACAACTTATCATGGTCGTGTATTCTTTTAAAAATATATATATATAAACTACACTCAAAGAGAAACTAAGGAAAACGATAAACAAAAAAGAACAATTGTCCAAGATTTTTAGGTTCGTTGTGATTTATTCTAAGGGTAAATGAAAAATAATAATTATTTTTATCTCAAACTTCAAAAATGACAAATAATTTAAAATAATTATTTCCAAATAATTTCCATGAGCAAAATGAAAGAAAATGAATTTAGTAATGGAAATATTGAAGGGGGATTATTTCACTATGCACACTTTTGTAGTGACCTATGAAAATTATATTAGAAACATTTTCTTATTAAAGCAATTTTATAATTTTCTTAAAAAGTGTGATATTCTTAATCATGTCATTACTAGATGCATTATGCGAAAGGTTTGATTGTACTCTACAAAAGTATATTAATAGTATCAAATATAGAATGACAAACAAAAATCTAAAAATTCAAATCAATATCAAATCAGTTTAACTAATTTCAAAAAAATGTAAAACCAAACGAAATCAAACCCCAATAAAATTAGTTTATTTATCAATTTGAATCACTTTTTACTCAAATAGTAAACACTTATGCCTTTCACAAATATCTATTAAACTCAAATTAACTTATTAAAGATTTTGAATTAGCATGACTCCTTATGTCTCACAACTACCTATTTTTTAGGTAATGCAAATGCAACAAACTTCTTCAACCATGCAATCTCTATGCTTATTTTTTTTTCATTCTTTCTTTTTAATCTCTTAACACTCATTCGAAATGAAAATCAAAGAAAATGAATTTAGTGATACAAATATTAACAGGGACACTATTTCATATTCGAGTAGCCAAAGATACATCTGTGGCAGATTTGAAAAAAGAAATAAGTAATCAAGAGAAACTTCCAGAGAATCGTTTGATTCTCATGTTGGATACAGGAAATGGAGATTCAATCATGTTGAATGACGATGAAATTTCCCTTGTGGAGTATGGGGTAAAAGATGGATCTCATTTTTACCTGTTTTTTAAGCTTCCCGATAATAATAATAATAATAATAGCAATAATGGTGATGGTGATGGTGTCAGTTTTGTCAATCCCGAGACTCCGGTTTCTCAAGGAGATTCTGTTGCAAAGTAGACAGAGACAGATTCAGGATTTTGAAGTTACTGGGTAATAGTAAATCTTTTTCCGTCAATAAGTGTAGATTTAGTTTAGTGGTATGACTTTGATGGCTTTTGGTCTATGTTGTATTACTCGACTAACCAGAATCGGATTTAGGATTTGAGCTTTTTGTAGGTTTAACTTTTAAGTTTTTAGTATTTAACCTTTTTTTCTTTAAGCTATGAATTCATGTATCTACCATTTGCTTGCAAAAACTTTTTTATAAATGTTTACACCAATACATGTGCATCAAAAGTATTAGATTCAGATAAAGCTGATACTAGTGTTCAACATCCGCCACGAGTAGGTAAGTGACAAACTTGATATAACACATTGATATTACAAGAAAAAGAAAAGGTAGTAGGTACCGAGTGGAATAGTTCAGGTGCACGTATATGCTGGTCCAGACACCACCGTCATTTTAAAAAAATAAAAGTAGCTATCAATCTGAAACCATTTGGGAATGCAACCAAAGCATCTTGTTTGCTATAAACATAGTACTCAACAACTGCTTTCATTCTATAAAGCTTATCTGGATGGTAATTTATATGAACTGCAACTGGCTTCAACTTCTTCAAATTCGAATTTTTTCGTATGATTTTGAAAAGGGTCTTGCTATTCATGAACTAGTAGAAATCCATTACTCTCCTAGAAGCATAGAGTCCAATGTACCCGGTGTATGATGGAAAGGCTAACTCTTCATTGAAAACAGCCTGGTCCCAAGCATTTGGCTCCTGAGTGAGCCTGTTAGCAACGCGATCCAAGAGTTCAATTGCAGGAATCGTTGGACAGATATAGCCCATATCCTCATTGTATGAGTGTATCGAGCCCAACCCATATCAGCTTCATCAGAGACGTCGTTGTAACCATAAGCTGTCATGTTGTTGTGACCATTGGACGAATCGCGGTATAGATGATCAAAAGGATTTTGTAGATACACAATGTCGACATCAGAAAGCAGGACGCTGTAGCCAAGCTGCAAGAACTCTCTCAGAATTCGGAACTTTAATCCTGACATGGCATGGTTACCTCCACTTTTAACAATAAAATCGACAGTCTCATCAGTGTCTCTCCCCGTTTTCATTACAGAAATCTACAGCGTCATCATCCAATGCAACGACCAGATAATTTGGTATACCAGCCCTTTTAACGTTGGTTAACCACATTTCCAGCATGGATTTCACATTTGAATTGGCAAGTACAAGACCTCTTTCCCTACCGCGACCTTTGTCAATATCTTAGCTAGTCTTGGGTTCACTGATTCGTCTGGAAGGACAGGACGGTTAGTTCTCGTACTCTTGACTTTGCCAAACGGAGCAGCTTTTTTAGGCTCACCTAACAATACAAGTTGCTCCTGTGCACGGCTTTTTTCCTGCTCGGCTATCTGAAGCTTTTCATTTAGTTCTTTTACTTGCTTCTGCAACTCTGCATTCTTCTCCGACAACCTCCTAATGTATGATCTCAACATGTTCATCCACTCTGTGGATTCATTCGACCATGACTCGATCTGTGAATTAGATCTCAAAAGTTAAAACAGACATACATAGAGAAGACTTCAACACTGATCAAACGACATTTTGGCCGTTATACCAAATGTCACATGTAGAAAAGATACTAGTCATGGAGTGTTTATCGTCAATACTCAGAATTGTATGCAGCATATGAATATAGACATAATGCCTAAATGCCTCATCTTTCAGAAAGATGAGAAATGAGAACGGGGCTGAATGCAGACACTGTCAATAAAAGGATAGCTCGGTGGATGAACCATCCCACGCTCCTACAAGGAGCCAGGGAAGGTCTGCACCCTAACAAGGTACAATGTAAGCAGTCTACACTAACACAAGCATTACTGGCTGATTCCATATCTCGAAACCAAGACCTATAATGTTATATGGAGACAACTTTACTGTTGCTCAAGATAGTATCATAACCAAAATCTCCTCAACTCTTAAACTATCAACACCTAATCACATATCAACGCATGAATCGATGATCGACTAGACCTCAATCCTAAACTACTCAGATTCGATTATACTTATCATCTATATCTGATCCACTCTACTCAGACCAATTTCACTACAATATTCAATAATCTGTCTCTTATTGTAACTCTGCATCTCATATCCCACCTCAACAACAAAAATAAAGGAGATAATAATAAGCATCTGATGTAAAGTAAACACTCCCTAGCTCCAACCTCTATCCCAGTTTATGTGACACCAGTTAGATTTCGAGAGTCAAAAGTTCGTTAATTTAGACATGGAATCTATTATTTTGATGACAAGGGAAACCAGCAGCCGCTATTCTTTGGTGCGCACAGGGTAAAACCTCCACTCCTATACAATAGCTCGCAAACCACACGAGAGAGGTAACCCGCACTAGGCAAGCCCGATGTGACGAGCTCGACCCAAAAGGAGAAGGCAAACCCTTGCTTTCGCTGACAAGGGGTTTCAAACTTGAGACCTCCAACATGAAAGTCCTAAGGCCAAATCACTGGGTCATCCTGAAGGGTAATATATATTTAAAAACAAAGTGAAAAACACTATAACTCACAAAAATTAAGACATGAAAAGAACAATATGGTCAAAAGAAAAACTTATTTCGAGTCGTGAAAACAGTATCTTACCTAAGATGAGGTACAATAGACCATTATGGTCATACTCTTTCTCAAATCCCACACATAACAAGAGCTTAGTGTATCGAATAACAGAGAAATTAGTGCAGAGTGACTTACCAAAACATCATATTTAAACAAAGGATGAGATTTAGGTGGTGGATTAGAAGAAAAGAATCCATAGGGATAAAAGATAGCAAAAACACAACCAACAACAACACCTATTGCAATTGCTGCACCAATTCTTGAACTTGGAGTCCCCATTTGGATTTCTGTAAAATTTTAGCTGCAAAATATCAAAACTCCACACATAAAAAGTTGAAATTTTGTGGTATTTTATTGATTCTTGAGATGATTTAAAGTCTCATTTTTCCACAGAGAGAAAAAAGAAAAGATTAAAGTCAAGTAGTGGAAAGACTATTTTTTTTTTATGGAGTAGCAAATAAGTTGTTTATATGATTGAGAATGATCCACTTGAATTTCTATGCAATTGCATTCAAAAGAAAATGTTGCAAAAGTCCAATAATTTTATCTTGACTATGATTGTTGTAGAGATATTTAACTAAAAGATTGTGTTATATGGAGGGAGAGCCGGAGCTAGAAGTTTGGGTACGGATACAATCAAAGCTAGTAAAGATTGTTTAAATAGTTTATTTCATATTCATTGTGTTCTTTCTCCTCACCCTCATTCCAGCTACATCATGTCCACTTCTCATAATGTTTATCTAGATTGTATATATTTTTTGTTTACGTACCAAATATGAAAAAGTTGTGTCAAAAAAAAAAACATGTTACTTTCATATCGAACACACCCAAAAACTCGTATGATTGCTTTAAAAAATAAAAATACCTCTTTCCTTTCAATTTATGCAATATTTTTAGTTTATCGAAAAGTGTGATATTAATATAAAAAATCATTTTACTTAATTAAATTTCATACCATATAAATCTCGAGAAACAAAAAGTGTAATGAGAGAGGTAGAGTACCAAACTTTGCACCAAAAACTCACATGTATTGCTCCTCCTACTTAGTCTAGAATTAGAGTGTATAATTGAGATATGTTTGAATAATTTGATAGGTAACTTATTATATATTTTCGTATAAATCAAAGAAATGTAGTACTAGAATTATTATTTTTTACATAATTGTGACTTGTACTACAACACACATGCTACAATGGCGGGGACAAAGGGTCGCGATGATCGGTATGTACTAGTACCAAGATCGAGTCTTAGACAAGCGAATCTGAACAAAGAAAACGAAAATAAAAAAAGATAAACATAGGAAACAAAGGAGAAATACTCATTTATTTACAGCCAGTGGGAAAATCATGTCCAAGAATACTATTACACTGGAAAAAGATAACAGAAGTTGGTTTCCAAGAATTGAAGAAAGCTTAATGCTGCAAGTTACTGTATGTCCTAACTAGCAATTCTATGGGAAACCAACATATTTCCAGAAAGATAATTCCTAAATCAAGCACCATATATAGGAGCACCATTCTGTCTACATCTATTCCATATACATGATCAGCACTCGTATGATCTTTCCCCTAACGGGAGAGGGGGGAGGGAGGGAGGGAGGGAGTTGTTTGCGATCTACCTTCTTCGCTTGGGTGTGTGTAAAGCATGGAGTGGGAAAGAGGAGGTAAATTGCCAAGAAGCTAGTGCATCAGAAGTAAAAGTGATCTTCGAGACATTTCACACGATATAAGCAAAGATTTGACCCTCTTCAAATGGAGCTTAAAACCTGTAGGCTGTAGACCAAAGCCAAGCGATCCAAAGCAAGAAATCAAAGCTCAGCTCTCAACTACATCTTTAAGCTGTTGGATCTTTCCTGCACATCACGGGACAAGAGAGGCATCAGTTTCCATTTTCTATAAAACCGTACACGAGAGTAAGCTACAGCTTCTACTTTTTTTGAAATACAACACAGAACTCGTTGAAAAGGTGCTTCATAACAATGCTTTGATAAGTGAGGCCATGTTGAATGATAAGTCAACATGATGAGAGTTTTTGTAAAACGCTGATATGAAACAGTAAGAACTAGGACTTTCTATATCTATTGAAAACCATTAAAAATTGAGATCTGTATCTATTGAAAACCATTAAAAATTGAGAGAAAAACTTAGATCAATCAAAACAGCAACCACATCATAATAACTGAACCTTCTAAAACAATACCAAACGTGCACTAAAGATGACATCAAAGAATTAAGATGGCATGCTCCGTAGGTGATGTTGGAATGAAAACAAACTTAAATGAAGAGTAGGGCAACATAAGCATGAAGTGATACAAAATGCAGCACTCTTCACAGGTAGTAAAGTTTATATTTAGAGAGAAATAAAAGAGGATGTG